ACTCTGACGCTGTGATATGATGCACTGGCACTGTGATTTACTACACTCGCACTGTGATATGCTACACTAGCACTGTGTTATACTACACTGGCACTGTGATTTACTACCCTGGCACTGTGATATACTACACTAGCACTGTGATATACTACTCTAGCACTGTGATATACTACACTGGCACTGTGATATACTACACTGGCACTGTGATATACTACTCTAGCACTGTGATATACTACTCTAGCACTGTGATATACTACACTAGCACTGTGATATACTACTCTAGCACTGTGATATACTACACTAGCACTGTGATATACTACACTAGCACTGTGATATACTACTCTAGCACTGTGATATACTACTCTAGCACTGTGATATACTACTCTAGCACCTGGTTGCATCTAGAAGTAGGATAAATTATAAGTCTGCATTAATAATATCTCATGGGAGACGCGTAGTACATGACAAAAATATTGGATTCTAAATAATCCCTTTTTTATTCTTTATTTCAGTGAAGCAGATTATGAGTTCAGTAAACTGTATTCAACAGAAAGCCATAGAGCGTGTGTTGTTGTGTAGAGATTATAGTTTAATAGTAGGCATGCCTGGTACTGGTATGTATTCAACAGAAAGCTATAGCGTTCAGAACACAGACTCACAGCTAAATATATTTTGTCTTTGTATTGAAAAAAGAAAATTTTTTCAGCTTGGTGGAACAAATATTAATCACCAGATTGTCTTTTGAATATTATTTTTGAAATTTTTTTCTGATAACTCTAGTCTAATAATTTATTAGAATATTTCTGATTGTTTTGTTTGTAAGGTAAAACCACCACTATAGTTGCTTTGGTGCGAATTCTTGTAGCATGTAAACTATCAGTGCTTCTCACCAGTTATACTCACTCTGCTGTGGACAATATTCTGTTTAAATTACATCAGGTAAGATGGTGATGACTTGCCATGCGTCTCTCTACTGTTTTTAGTGCAGTAGTGCGTGCACTTGAGATTTTTCTATGGTCAAAATAAATAATATTTTTATAAATTGATGATTTATAATGCAATTGTTGGTTTGTATGTGCTTCTATTAAAGATACACTCACAATAGAGCAAATATGATATATAAAAATACATCACATGCTGTGATCTGTTGCCATAGTAACTTTCTTATTTCTATATTTTGGTCGGCAAGATTGACCTGAGATTTCAACAATGTCATCCCTCTCCATACATAGACTAATATTGTTGGACCAGTTTTTTAGCTCCGCTGTTGACTTTGCCGAGCGGAGCTTATCATATGAGTGATTGTCCGTCGTCCGTGTCAATGTTTTACTTTTTCGACTTCTTGAAAACTACAAGTCTGAATGCTTCGATACTTGGTGTATATGTACCTTGGGTAGACCTCTCTTAGATTTGTTCATTTCATGATGATATCTTCAATTCTCTAATTTTGATGAATATTTTTGTCATTTTTGGTAAAAAGTGATATTTTCAACTTCTTGTTAAAAACCGCAAGTCCAAATGCTTTGATATTACATATATAATTACTACATGTGGTTCTAACTCAGATTTGTTCATTTCATGATGATATCTTCAATTTTCTAATTTTGATGAATATTTTTGTAATTTTTGGTAAAAAGTGATATTTTTGACTTCTTGTTGAAAACCGCAAGTTCAATTGCTTCGATATTACATATATAGGTACTACATGTAGACCTCTTTCAGATTTGTTCATTTTGTAATGATATCTTCAATTTTCTAATTTTGGTGAATATTTTTGTCATTTTTGGTAAAAAGTTATATTTTCAACTTCTTGTTGAAAACCGCAAGTCCAATTGCTTTGATATTACATATATAGGTACTACATGTGGTTCTAACTCAGATTTGTTCATTTCATGATGATATCTTTAATTCTCTAATTTTGAGGAATATTTTTGTAATTTTTGGTAAAAAGTGATTTTTTCCACATCTTGTTGAAAACCGCAAGTCTGATTGTTTTGATACAATACATATTGTTCATTTTTTAATGATACTTTCTGTTCTTTAATTGAAATGTGCATTGCTAACAGCGGAGCTATCTCAGCCGAGAGGCTGCTTGTTTTTAGTATGTGTTGGTTCTTGGATATTTTAGCTTCATCATCTTGTACTTCATTTAGTAATTCAAACTTCCCAGTTTGCGTAAAAAGGGAGAGTTTCATGATTTCGACATCGAAAATGCCTTGACTTCATTATTTGCTGAGGGACGACCACTTAGGTATGTGCTTTGTAACTTGCAGCACATGAACCTAAAAACGTTAGGTAATCAAACAAAAATGACGACGTACTAAAGTCCACAGAGTAGATTTAAGGTCTTCACTTTTTCGTAGCATAAAAACGATTTGCTCCCTCGCTTATTGCGACATTTTACACTATGACTCGAAACAGTCTTTTTTGCTTGACGTGTTCATTTGCCTTCAATTACGTTTCAGTGGCTGTCATTGTCATCTTCTGAGTCTTGTCGATAAAATTTTGGTTCAAATTCACGTAGCTATCACCGAGAGAACTCAAACAAATTTGTGTAACAATGCTTTTGCCCTTGGTTGCCATATTGAACACCACATACAACTACAGCATTTAAATCTTAGGGAAATTCACTCGCACTAAATTGAATTTGCTGTGCTAGGCAATCAATGTATTTGCACTAAAGTACTTTGAAGATCTGAAACTGTTTTTACCCTCACTTACTAAATTTTAAATATGATTGGGGTCACAAATCACCATAGCTCATTTTCGCGGTAAGTAGTCTCTCACCTCTTAGATATTATTGTCATCCAAGCCATTCATGTCCCTAATTTTGGTTCCCGGACACCACTAATAAATAAGCTTCTAGAGCCATAATTCTGACTTGCTTCGACTGACTATGTTCAAATTTTTAATATTCATTATACATCATGTCACAGATATATAGATTATTCAAAATGGCAAAGCAAGTACTTGTTTGACGATCAGATACAAATGTCAATCATTTTAATGTTAAACAATCATTATAATCATATTTCTTACATGGTTATATTCCAGCTATATTACTATAAACAAAACTATATATCTTAAATTTGATAAATAACAGGGACTGTGCCATGCATGGCTTGTTATTAATATTAATTGACCATAGTTAATGATTTGATTTAATTGATTTGCATGAGATAGAATCTATGAAATGATTTTTTCATGATAGAGGCAAGCATCGAGAGTTTAGCTATGTTTCTACTAGTATACTGTTCTCTATTCCAGTAAGGATGGTGTAACTTTGCCAGCCCTTGGTAAATATGCTACTGGTATACTGTTTTTGGATAAAACCACTGCAGATGAATGCGAGACATTGTTTGCAAACATTGCCTTGGAGTGCAAGTTAAAGGTGAGATTATGTGTTGGGAAAACAGCACATTGAATATTGCATACAACTTTGCATATTCTTGAATTATAATTGTACATTATCTAGACCTGCTAGAAAGTATTTACACACTACATACAGTTAATACCTACGGTATAATTCAATAAAATAAAATGAATAATGATAATTTAAAATTTAGTCTATATTAAAGACAACACGTAATGTCACCTGGAATTGTTATTTTTAATTACAAAAATGATCAAATGACAGGTGCATAAATACTTTCTAGTGTGAGTAGGTGACATGCTTCTTGCAGTATCTATTATAATGTCTAAGCAATAAAAATCAAATATATATATTTCAACATGGAAGATAAATGTTTAATTTGAAACACCACAAAATCATGCTTTTGTTAAAATCTTACAGTGACATTACGTGCATGAACCAGTTTTGAACAAATCTGTAAGTTGCTGTTATGAGTTTGCTGTC